TACATGTAACCCTTTTACATGTAAACATTGTCATGTTACTCTCCCTTTCACGTACATGGTCGCAAGTCCGAGAGATAAAGAAATTGACATAGTTTAATTCTGGGGATCTTTATTTGTAGACGTTTCCCCGTCCCGTGGCTTTTCAATGATTGTAAATGTATAAATACAAAAAAGTTGAATATTAAGACACATTGGGAACACTGGGGATTGGTATTTAAGATACCATTTTTATGCTTCGGCCTCACTAGTTCCAGATTATGGAACTGGGGTTCTAGGCTGAGGGGCGAAACCCCTTGTTCCCGGCCCTGGAGCTGAACTATTCTCCCGGCTGAGGACTGACCACCTTGTTCGAGCCATGGGCGAACCTTCCCAGGCTGAGGGACTGACCACCTTGTTTCCCGACCTGGAGCAACTCTTCTCCAAGGGTGAGGGATGACCACCTTGTTCCAGACCATGGACTGAACTCTTTCCAGGCTGAGGATGACCACCTTTTTTCCCGACCATGAAGGTGAACTCTTTTCCCGGGGTGAGGGGCTGACCACCCTTTTTCCAGACCATGGGGGGCTGAATCTTTCAGGTGAGGGGCGACCACCTTTTTCCCGACCATGGAGGAAACCTTTTCCAGGCTGAGGACTACCACCTTTTTCCCAAACCCTGGGCTAACTCTTTTCCCCGGGTGAGGGACTGACCACCTTTTTCCAGACCATGGAGCGAACTCTTCCCAGCTGAGGGACTCCACCTTGTTCCAGACCATGGACTGAAATTTTTTCCAGGTGAGTTTCTGACCACCTTTTTCCAGACCATGAAACTGAAATTTCTCCCGGCTGAGGTACTGACCCCCTTGTTCCAGACCATGGAGCTGGACTCTTCCCCAGGGTGAGTACTGACCCCCTTTTCCAGACCATGGAGCTGAACTCTTTCCAGGGTGAGGGCTGCCACCTTGTTCCAGACCAGGGGCTGAAAAATCTTCTCCCGGCTGAGGGATGACCCCTTTTTCCAGACTATGGGAAATGCTAATCCCCAGGCTGAGGGGTGACTACCTTGTTCCCGACCATGGAGCTGAACTCTTCTCCAGGGGAGAGACTGCCACCCTTTTTCCAGACTATGGAACTAGACATTTTCCCCGGCTAGGGACGGGCTACCTTCTTCCAGACCATGGAGCTGAACTCTTCTTTTCCCGGCTGAGAGACTGACCACCTTGTTCCGACTATCACTAGACTATTTTTCCGCTGAGGGACTGACTCCCTTTTTCCAGACCTGGAGCTGAACTCTTCTCCCGGCTGAGAGACTGAACCTTGTTCCCAAATATGGAACAGACAAATTTTCCCCGGCTGAGGGGCTGACTACCTTTTCCCAGACCGGAGCTGAACCTTCTCCAGGCTGAGAGATGACCCCCTTTTTCCAGACTAGGAACAGACTTTTTTCCAGGGAGGGGCTGACTACCTTTTTCCCAGAACCCTGGAGCTGAATCTTCTCCGGTTGAGAGACTGACCCCCCCTTGTTTCCCGACTATGGAACTAGACTATTCTCCAGGGTGGGGACGACCACCCTTTTTCCAGACCATGGAGCGAACTCTTCTCCAGGGTGGAGACGACCACCTGTTCCCGACTTGGAAAATAACTATTTCCCGGCTGAGGATGACCCCTTGTCCGCATGGGGCTGAACTCTTTCCCCGGCTGAGGGACTGGCCCTTGTTCCAGACTATGGGGTGAACTCTTCTCCAGCTGAGGGGCTGACCACCTTTTTCCAGACTATGGGAAAAGACTACTCCAGGCTGAGGGCGACCACCCCTTTTTCCAGACCATGGAGTTGAATCTTCTCCCGCGAGGGGCTGACCACCTTGTTCCAGACCCTGGAGCTGAAATTTCCCAAGGGGGGGGGTGACCACTTGTTTCCCCTATGGAAAACTATTCTCCAGGCGAGGGGGCTGACCACCTTGTTCCAGACCATGGAGCTGAAAATTTCTCCCGGTGAAGACTACCACCTTGTTCCAGACTATGGAACTAGACTATTCTCCGGGAGGGGCTGACACCTTGTTCCAGCCAGAAAACGAACTTTCTCCAGGCTGAGAGACTACCACCTTGTCCAGATATGGAATAGACTATTCTCCAGGCTGAGGGGTGACCACCTTTTTTCAGACCTGGGCTGAACTTCTTTTCCAGGCTGAGGGACGACCACTTGTTTTCCCGACCATGGAGTTTAACTCTTCTCAGGCTGAGGGACTGACCACCTTGTTCCAGACCATGAAGCTAACTATTTTTCCCCGGTGAGGGGGCGACCACCTTTTTTCCGACCATGGGCTGAACTCTTCTCCAGGCTGAGAGACTGACCACCTTGTTCCAGACCTGGAGCTGAACTCTTCCCAGCTGAGGGAGACCCCCTTGTTCCAGCCTGAAGCTGAACTCTTTCCCGGTAGGGACTGACCACCTTTTCCGACTATGGAACTAGCTATTCTAGGTGAGGGGGCTGACCACCTTTTTTCCCGACCCATGGAGCTGAATCTTTCCAGGCTAGGGCTGCCCCTTGTTCCAGACCATGAACTGAACTCTTTCCAGCTGGAGACTACCACCTTGTCCAGACCATGGGCTGAACTCTTCTCCAGGCTGAGGGGTGCCACCTTTTCCAGACCATGAAGCTGAACTATTCTCCAGGCTGAGGGGTGACCACTTGTTCCAGACTATGGAACTAACTTTTCCCGGGTGAGGGATGACCACCCGTTCCAAACCCTGGAGCTGAATCTTCTCCAGGCTGAGGGACTGACCACCTTGTTCCAACCTGAAACTGAACTTTCTCCAGGCGAGGGGCTGACCACCTTTTTCCAGACTATGGGAAATAGACTATTCCCAGGCTGAGGGACTGACCACCTTGTTTTCCAGACCATGGACTGAAATCTTCTCCAGGCTGAGGGACTGACCACCCTTTTTCCAGACATGAAGTGAAACTCTTCCAGGCTGAGAGCTGACCCCCTTGTTCCAAACCCGGAGCTGAAACTCTTCTCCCGGCTGAGGGGCTGACCACCCTTTTTCCAGACCAAAGTGAACTATTCTCCAGGGTGAGGGGCTGACCCCCTTGTTCCAGATATGGAAAATAGACATTTCCAGCGAGGGACGCCCCTTTTTCCAGACCAGGAGCTGAAATCTTTTCCAGCTGAGGGGGCTGACACCTTGTTCCAGGGGATGAAGCTGAACTCTTCTCCAGGTGGAGACTGACCCCTTGTTCCGACCGGGCGAAAATCTTCTCCAGGGTGAGGGATGACACCCTTTCCCAACCCTGGATGAACCTTTTTCCCCCGGCTGAGGGGCCCGCCACCTTTTCCAGCCTGGGCTGGACTTTCTCCATGCTGAGGGACTGACCACCTTGCTCCCGACTTTGGGAATGGACTCTTCTTAGGTGAGGGGGCTGACCACCTTGTTCCCGATATGGAACTAGACTATTCTCCAGGGTGGGGGGCTGACCACCCTGTTCCGACTATGGGAAATAGACATTCTCCCTGAGGGGCGACCACCTTGTTCCAGACTATCGAAAAGGACTGTTCCCAAGCTAGGGACTGCCCCCTTTTCCGACCATGGAGTGAACTCTTCTCCGGGGAGGTACTGACCACCTTGACCCGACCCGGAGCTGAAATCTTCTCCAGGCTGAGGGTTTACCACCTTGTTCCAGACCCTGGAGTGAACTCTTCTCCAGGCTGAGAGACTACCCCTTGTCCCGACCAGGAGCTGAACTCTTTTTCCCCGGCTGAGGGACTGACCACCTTGTATCAACCGGGCTGAACTTTCCCAGGCTGAGGATGACCACCTTGTTCCAGACCCCTGGAGCTGAAAATCTTCTCCAGGGTGAGGACTGACCAAACCTTTTTCCGACCTGGAGCTGAACTCTTCTCCAGGGGAGTATGACCCCTTGTTCCGACCATGGGGTGAACTCTTCTCCAGGCTGAGGACTGACCCCCTTGTATCGAACCCTGGAGCGAACTCTTCTCCAGCTGAGGTACTGACCACCCTTTTTCCAGACCGGAGCGGGAAACCCTTCTCCAGGGTGAGGGACTGCCATTGTTTCCCAAACCTGGGCGAAATTTTCCAGGGGAGGTAATGCCACCCTTTTCCCGACCCTGGAGCTGAACTCTTCTCCAGGCTGAGGACTGACCACCCTTTTATCAGCCATGGGGCTGAACTCCCCAGTTTGGGGTCATGTCTGGTCTTCTTTTTTCCATGCTGACATGTTCCGGGCACTGCTGCGGGGCCCCAGTGCCCTGTTTGGGCCACTGGGTCCTCAAGATTTTTGGGAAAAAGCTGTCTATTCGCCTGTTTAGGGGCCTGTGCTGTCATCTGAGTACATAATGATACTTACCCTTGTACTTACGTGTACATCTGTTTACAGCAACGACCAGACAGTTCACGATTTTTAGAGTAACTTTTACAATTCTAGTTACATTAACTGTAATTTTACCCCCCAGAAGTAGTACTAATATAGATACTAAATACTAGATAGATACTAATGATAGAAATTGATATAAAATGCTAGATATGATGAAATATTTAGAACATGAAAAGAACAGGAGACCCGAAGGGTTAGATTTTTTACAAAAAACGCGTTTTCAGTTAATCTTTTATATTTAAAAAATAATAATAATAATAATGATAAATGATAATAATAAAAATAATATGTAATAAATATAAAAAAATAGCATAAAGAAAACTAGGGTAACAAAAGCTTCAGAGTTAATATATTTTTTATTGTAATTCGGCATAATTCAGTTGACCAATTGAAATAAATTTACAGCTGAAAACTTAAATAAAAAATATATCTTTACAAAAATTTTTGAAGTAATTTTGCTAAGAGAAAATGGTGGAGATGATTACAGAGGGTAATGGCCCTTAATTTGAGTCTTTAACTATGCTGTTTTTATTTGCAAAGTAATTGGAGTACCTTTTATATTCCCAAGGAATTGGCCTTTTTTGGGGAAAATTTTCAGTCACCCGGGACATATATTTTGGCCCCCAAAATTTAATTTTAAGTACAAATATGTGGTTTTACAGAAAAAAACAGTGACCTTCATATGGCAAGAAATCTATATTGGTAGATTCTTGGCTATAAATTTAAAGTAATTAGGCTGTTATAGCTAAATTCTTGCTCGGGATTATGTATAGAATTACAGTACAGCATTGTTATAGTGCAGGGAGTTTCCATATATTATAAAAATTCAATTTTGAGTGGATTTTTTTAATAATATTATCGTATTTTTGGCAACCCGCAGTGGAATTGTTGCCAGAATAACAAGACAAAGTTTATACAACATGCTATTGTACTCATATGTACTCTTGTTGTACAAGAACTATAGTACTCAAGCATTGCCATACAAGAAATATTGTACCCTGGTGCAGTTTGGCCGATGTACCAGAACTATTGTACTCTAGAATCATGTTATGGTACAAAATAATTATCGCACCTCTGGCACGCAGTGTTGTGCTGGGAAGAACTCTCGTGCAGTAGAGCAGTACTATCGTTGCCCCGAAAATTCTCTTCAATTGCAATAGTTAGACGATTTTCTACATTAATAGTCCCCTCCAGACCTCACTGACGTAGACATGTAGACATCAACTACGTCAGAGGTGGTATTAGTAGCCCAATTTAGGACAAATGGTCTTTTCGACGTACTTAGTGTCGTAGACAGTCTGTAATTGAGGTATGAAGTTGGTCTTGTAGAGAGTTTGGTAGATAACTTCGTAGGTAGTGATGTACTGGGGCACCACCTTGGTCTCGTAGACCGTCTCGTAGACGATCTGGTTCTTGATGACGCTATCCACGTACGTCTGAGTGACGTACTTGGGGATAATCTCGTTTTTGGTGACGTACACCGGCTTGTAGTCCGTGGCGTAGTCGATCTTGTAGTCCGTGAGGACCTTGACCTGGGGCAGGAAGACCGTGCTGGTCACGTACTTGGGCAGGTACTTGGTCAGATAGATGTCCTTGTAGATCTTCTCCACGTGCGTTAGGTACCTGACCGTAGGAATCACCTCGGTCTTGAAGACTTTGTTAGGTACTGGAACCTGAGGAGCATCGTACGTCTGGCATCAGTGCTTGGGTTAACTCTAGCATGACAGATGTATGATAATTGTCTCGAAGATGACAGAGGTATGATAATTGTCCCGAAGATGACAGAGGTATGATAATTATCCCGAAGATGACAGAGGTATGATAATTGTCCCGAAGATGACAGATGTATGATAATTGTCCCGAAGATGACACACCCAGCTGCCCTACCTAGCTGCTCCACCCACCCGCCCAGCTGTAACACCCTCCCAGGTGTAACGCCCACCCACCCAGCTGTAAAACCCACCCACTCACTCAACTGTTCCACCCACCCATCTAGCTGTAACACCCACCCACCCAGCTGTCCCACCCACCACCCAGCTATTCCATCCAGCTGTTCTATCAGCCTACTCACCCAGCTGTTGACACCACAAACCCAGCTGTTCCAACCACCCCCCCACCCACCCAGCTATTCCGCTCAGCTATTCCACCCACCCACACCAAGCTGTTCCACCCACACCCTCACCCAGCTGTCCCACCCAACATCCTCACCCAGTTGTTCACCCACACACTCACCCAGCTGTTACACCCACACACTCACCCAGCAGTTCCACCCACACCCTCACCCATCTGTTCCACCCACACCCTCACCCAGCTGTTACCACCCCACACACTCGCCCAGCTGTTACACCCACACACTCGCCCAGCAGTTCCACCCACACCCTCACCCATCTGTTCCACCCACACCCTCACCCAGCTGTTACACCCACACACTCACCCAGCTGTTACATCCACACACTCGCCCAGCAGTTCCACCCACACCCTCACCCATCTGTTCCACCCACACCCTCACCCAGCTGTTAAAACCCACAAAACTCACCAGCCGTTCCACCCACCTACACACCCAGCTGTTCCACCCCCCACACTCACCCAGCTGTTCCACCAAAACCCTCACCCAGCTGTTCCCCCACACACTCACCCAGCTGTTCCCCCCAAACACACTCACCCAGCTTTCCACCCACACCCCCCACCCAGCTGTTCCATCCACACACTCACCCAGCTGTTCCACCCACACACTCACCCAGCTGTTCCACCCACACCCTCACCCAGCTGTTCCCACCCACACACTCACCCAGCTGCCCCCAAACCCACACCCTCACCCGCTGTTCCATCCACACCCTCACCCAGCTGTTCCACCCACACCCTCACCCAGCTGTTCCACCCACACACTCTTTCCGCTGTTCCACCCACACACTCACCCAGCTGTTCCACCCACACACTCACCCACTGTTCCACCCACACACTCACCCAGCTGTTCCACCCACACACTCACCCAGCTGTTCCATCCACACCCTCACCCAGCTTTTTCACCCAACACCCTCACCCAGCTGTTCCACCCACACACTCACCCACTGTTCCACCCACACACTCACCCAGCTGTTCCACCCAACACTCACCTCCTTGAGGACCTGC